TCTGGTATTTTTCTTTTTCTTTCTGGCTTATCTCACTGAGCATGATCCCTTCTAGCTCCCTCCATGTTGCTGCAAATGGCATGAGTTTATCTTTTTTGATTGCTGAGTAATATTCCATGGTGTATATGTACCACATCTTCTTGATCCAGTCATCTATTTTTGGGCATTTGGGTTATTTCCAGGTTTTACCTATTGTAAATAGTGCTGCAATAAACATAAGTGTACAGGTGTTCTTTTGAATCAATGTTTTTGTATTCTTTGGGTAGATCCCTAGTAGTGGAATTGCCAGGTTATATGGTAGCTCCATTTTTAGTAGACTGAGGAACTTTCACCCACCTTGTTTTGATCCTACTCCCTTCTCCCACCCTGTAGTGTATCTCTGGTTTATAGTTGCCTGTTGATTAAGACCAATGTTTCCTGATTGTTTTAGACTTTTTCTTCAAATGACAAGTCACACTGTAAAATTATGTATTTATTTATGTGATTATTTATTTAAAATCTAGCTCTGTTACAGCAAGTCTTCTACAGATTTATTTATTTATACATACAAGAAATGGAGTACAGGCCAGAGTTGCAGGAGGGTGAGAGGATTCTCCAGAGACAGAGTGGGGAACAGAACAGGCAGACATACTGAAAACACTGCTGAGAGTAGCAGCAGGTGAGACAGGAGAGGTCTGAGGTCTGCAGAGCTAGATTTTAAATAAATAATCACATAAATAAAGACATAATTTTACAGTGTGACTTGTCATTTGAAGAAAAAGTCTAAAAAGATCAGGAAACATTGATCTTATCTGGAGTGATAGACAAGGAGACTTCCCTGAAAAAATGATACTTGACCTGGCATATGAAGGATAAAAAGATAATTTTGGGAGAATTATTTTTATAGAGGAATTTGAGGTAGGGAACAACTTATTTAGGCAATGCTTAGGTTTCCTGGACCCAATTACATGGTATGTAGAGGTTTTGCTACACCAATTAGCAATTGTTGGATATCAGCAGGTGTTCAAGAAGTTGACTTAATTCCATTATTATTGACCTGAATATAGCATCAGATTCCACAGGTTAAGGACTTAGACTCCCAAGACTGTCCTTCACGCAGAGGCCAGGTGCAAGCCCAGGGCTGTCACCTGTGCTTCTGACCAGCCAAATGCAATTAATTTTCTAAAGCAGCTTAAGGAAATCCACTTGTTCATTAGATTACCAATTTATTACAAAATTGAATGAAAAGATATAATGGAGGTAGAGGAGATGCACAAGGCAAGATATGTGGATATATGTCCTCTCCATGCATTCTTCTGAAATCTCCATGTGATCACCAACCTGGAAGTATTCTTTTTTTAAAATAGAAGATTCATTCCATAGGCCTAATTGATTAAATTATTGGCCATTGCAACTGAACTCAACCTCCTCTCCCCTCCCCAATGTTCTTGAAAGATTGAAAGTTCCAAGCCTCTGATTACCTGGTTGGTTCTCCAGGCCACCAGCCCCCAACCTCATTCACATAACAAAGAAATCTTTATCATTGTCATTGTAACTTCCAAGGGTTTTTCAAACTCTGAGCCAGGAACTGTGGATGAAGTAGGTAAGAAATATATATTTTGGTCATCTTAATGATCAAATATATATATTTCCTATAAATCAAATATGTATATTTCCTATAAATCACAATATCACAGGGAAAAATGAAATAATAGAGATGAGACAATAGAATGTAGAAGTCAAATTAAGATTCTTTTCATTATCTAGAATCAGTCGGAGACCACTGAAAGATTTTAGTAATATGCATGGCATCTCATATTCAATTTGAAATGAATAGAAACAACATTTCATTGGAAACAATCATTCCTGCTGCTGGTGGAGAATGACTTGGAGTATAGATGTGGGACAGAAGTGGATTTGCTCTGCAGCTAACATAGGATAAGCTGTAGGGACCTCACTTTCATGGGTCCCTCCAAGGTTTTGGGAGAGACCTGACAATGCACATATGTGGCCCATGCTAATTCTTTGTTAATATGCTTGTACTTTTCTTTAAGGAGGAAGTCCTCCTGCATGAATCAGACAGGTCCTGCGAAACCTGGTTCTGCCCCTGATACTCAATAATAACCTTACAGGACAGACTTTCAATCCCTTACTAAATAATTGGGGGTTTCCCTTAATCAGGGGCCTTTAAGAATTAAGCCATGCATTTCAACCTTGGGTAGCATATTGTATGAGGTGTAGTTCTTGATGATGAGCAACTCTGGCTAGCTCCAGCAAAGTGGGAATTTGTTGGGTTTTAGGCAGGAATTGGCAAACTTTTTAAAACAAAGTAATTTCAACTTTGCAGACCATATATTGTTTATTGTAACTACTCATGTCTGCCACTACAAAGTGATAGCAGCATTAGATAATATGTACATAAATGAACATGGCTGTGTCAGTAAAGCTTTATTTGTAAAAACAGGTCATAGGTTTGATTTGATGAGTGAGTCATAGTTTGCTGATTCCTGTATATGGAGACTCCAAAATTGTTGGGTGTTTGACTCACAGGTTTGTAGATGGATGGGTGTATAATGTAGGTATCAGTAGATACATCAGATCTACTTGGCCCTGTGTATTAGCTTCTGCCTCAGACACTTGCTCTGCCATTATAGTCCCAACAGCTTTATGGCTATTACTACTACATACATTAAGGAACCCTGATTCTACTTGAGAACTTGGTGACCCTAGACAAGTCACTCCCTAATGAAGAGGTTCAGTTGGATCAGGAATGATGTGCTTATGTTTCCTGAGGTGTGAGAGGAGACAGACTTTAAGACAACACACTGTTTCATCAAAGAAAAGGTGTGATTGATTAGTCATGTCTGCCCTGGGCACCCAGATAGAGAGAGATGGAATATTTGTTAAGTAATTAAGATCTTGAAACTAGCAGATCTTCATAGTGCCTTATGATTCTGAAAAGCTACGCTTATATATGTGGGACTTTCTTGGGACTATTATGAAGATGGAGCAAACATGTAAAAGATAGACATTAGACAAGGAAGTTTGCCCCTCAACAATATAAATTCCCAGCACATCTGCTTTTACGAAGAGATTCTTTGTTTGGGATAGACACACTTGGGAGGTAGCTGACTACTGGGAAAAAACAAAAACAAATTCATCATGCCTTTCACATCAGCCTGAAAGCTTAAACATAGAGCAAAGACTAGCACATTTAAAGTTGGCAATTCTTTATTGAACATCCATTATATTTGTCAAAAACTTGTCCCCTGCTCTCAAGAAATTGTAACCATCATCATTCATTTCATCAATTAGAAAGAATACTACAAATAACTTTCTGGAATAAGCAGGGGTTGGAAGAAGTAGAAAAGAGGTAAAGAGAGAGATGGGGTACTCCAGCTTGGGGAACTGGTGATAGAAAAGTCTTAGAGGCAGGAATAAGTAAAAGGACATTAGAGTGAATTCATGGTGGGAGAGAAAGGGCATGAATTTGACTGATTTCTAGTAGAAGGTGTATCTGTAAGAGTGTGAAAAAAGAGGATGTGCAGCTTGGCCTTGGTTCTCTAAAAATGGGGTGTTACTGTGTCTTCTTGAGTGTTGTAGGGAGATCAATACTTGTGGAAGGCATGGAGGGCAGACGAAGGATGAGATAGGCAGGGAGAGAGGCAAGAAGAAGCTGATGCAAAGGTGCAGATGTGAGAGGGTGGAACTTGAGCATGGAGGGTGACATGTGAAGGAAGAGCAGAGACACATGAGATCCATTGCAAACTCAGAGTAGGCTGGGCATGGTCGCTGGTGGCAGATGATGGATGCAAGAAGAGGGGAATCATAGATAACTGCAAGTTCCAAGCTTGTGATCTGAAATTGAGGGTGCCAGGGTACACTTGGAGGATGAAAGGGAAAAAAAAGACTCACTTTTAGCCTTGAATTTTCAGTGATGGTGACCACAGATTATTTCAGTGAGAAGTGTCAGGGCTGGGAATGGGGAAACATGGGCCATAGACTTGGAAGGTAGTGCATTTAATCCAGCTTCTGACCCAGAGCCAGAATTCCATGGACTTAACATTGACTGCTGGTTATTGAAGATTTCTAGAGGTCTTCCAGTGATCTTACTTTCAGGATAAGAACTTTTTTTGGGGGGCAGGTTTAATTATAAACATTTTCTGATAAAGATTTAGAAGTGGACTAAGTTGAAAGTCAGATCTTGACCCTGACATTGACTTACTGTCTAGCATTTGTCAAGACATTTAACTTCTCTGGATTTCTACCATGTTGTCTGAAAAGTAGCAGGGTGATACTAGGGGATTTTTCAAAGTCCCAACATTCTATGATTTAGAGTGGTTGAATACTGGTATCATGAGAATGGATGAATTTTCTTGAAGAGATGGCTGAGTCCAAGGTCTTGTGTACATATGGATAACATTAGGAGGGAGGGACCAAGAAAAGGTGTCAGCATTACTAGATAGAACTGTGTGAAGGCACCAGCTTGTTAACCAAGGAAGAAGAGTTTTAGAGAAAGAGAACAATTCTTGCATGACTGAATTTCCAAGACTTGGTAGATCATCTATGAGAAATGGCAATGGATCAAGAGTTCAAGAGTAGGTTATAAACTAGATGAGATTCAGGAGCCATGCAAAGGTTTGATTGATGTGGGAGGTGGTGAGTAGGCATTGGTTTTCAGTAGAAAATCTTGCATGGGTAAGATTAATGGGTTTAGCTGAGCATGGGAGCAGAAACAGATAAATGAATGCCCTTAGGTAGCATTCATAGAGGCAGGGAGTCAATCCTGGAGATGGTGATATTAGTTACTGCCATGCCTTGTAGTCAGTTAGCTGGATTGCTCAAAGAAGGACAAGGACAGACTGAAGGGGGGCTTGTATCAGGAGTGTGATAAGGAGGGACTGGGTGCCACTTATTTAACCTTAAAAGAAAATTTGGTAGGAATGGTGAAAATTGCTTCTAAATATCTGTGGGAAGGCAGAGCATCTGAAAGAGAGCCCCTCCCTGCCATTTCTCTTCTACTACAGATAGAGCTGTTTCCGAAGGGTGCTTTGGATTTCAGGGTTCACTTTCCTGGGTCTCCCTTCCTGAACCAGCTCTGCTTCCGCCATTTGCCGTGTCACCTGTAGCAACAGTGGTTGTCAGCTGGAGTTGGACTCCTGGGGAAGTCAGTGTTATGGGCTTTTGGGTGAAGGGTAGAGAACAGGGCAGGTGGGTTTCCTAGTTCTAAGATGGGAGACCTTTATTGCGTGATCCTGTACCACAATCTCTATGGATCATTAGTTTGACATTCTTGTTACATGTTTTTTTCTTACCGTGAAAGCACATAACCATTAGAAGAGAAAAGCTTGCCCAAACATTCATCAAACCTGAACCATTTAGGGCCTCCCCCGTGGTGCAGTGATTGAGTGCTGGGTTGCGAAGCTGCCCGCGGCCTCTGAGTGCCCATTCCATCTCCAGCCACTGGGGCGGGGGTCCCACATGGCGCCCAAACCTCTCCTGCCGCCCGCTGCTACCCTCAGCAGTATGTTTCATCAGTCTGCCTCTTCTGTTCCCTGCTTGGCTCTGGTGAGTTCTCTCACCCTCCTGCGCTTCTGACTGTACCCAATGCTTGTATAAATCAATCAATCAATCAATCAATCAATCTTTTTTTTTTTAAAAAACCTGAACCATTTAATTCACAAAAAATTATCTATTTTCATCTAATTCTCACATACTGTGGAATTCCTTGCATCAGGGAAAATCATTGTTGGGAAATGGGCATCCTGGTGTCTGTGTTAGGACCCAGGTTTGATTTTGGTTGGAGGCAGGGAAGGGGGAAATGCAAATACATTTGAAGAGACCCAGCCCACTCTGCTTGCTCCCTGCTCAGGCTGGGTGGGGGTTCTAGGTCCCTGGTTTCAACTCACCTCAGTCAGGAGTTCCAGAATGGGTCCTTTATTCTCTGTGAACACATCAACCAGGGTCTGGATGAAGCAGGAGCCTTCCTTGTCATGTCTGTAGGCGATGTATCCTGGGAGTCCAGAGAAGCAGATTCAGGGGAGCCTGGTGGGGGTGGGCAGGTGGGTGGATGTGGTGGCAGAGGCCCTGGAAGGGGAGGGATCCTAGAGGTGCATCTTGGGTTTCAGAAGTGGTAAATGAGGTGGAGGAACAGTAGGTAAGGCAGAGGAGAAGAGGCCCACTTTGGGTCACCTGGGAGTCATACCCTCCATGGTGGAGTAGATGTGCAGGGCGTCTGTGTACGTTGGGATGGTTTGGGGACTGTCTTTTGTGATCATCACAATTTCGTCTTCACCTATAGTTTCACCAGGGTCCCTATGTTCTGAAATACCAAGAAGAGGACAAGGCAAAGTCAGAAATAAAGATGGGGGAAATGATCTGATTCCAAGACAACAGCATTGGGGGAGGGCCTGCCAGGGCTCTGGATGTGGGGTTGGGCTGGGTTAGGAAGGCAAACTCTGTGTTCTTGACTCTGTCCCCACCTCCTCGACAGGCCTGGATGATGTACACCTTAGGCTTGCCTCTCAAGGCCAGGCAATTCTTGTTGTTCAGAACCTCAAAGAGGTTCTCCAGCTCAACCATCTGCTCATCCTCCCCCTTGAGGCGACCTTCTTGTCCATGTGCCATGAGCACCACAAAAGCACAGCTGACGAAGTCTTCCCGGGCATCTATGGCCTCCTGGAATTTTTCCAACTCTTCCTGGAATTGCTGGAGTGAGAGGAATAGTTAGATGCAGGTGTGGTCCCAGAACCTGCCATCTGGTGCACTCCCCAACTCCCACCCCCAGCTGGCCCCCCACTCCCACCCCCTGCTGGCCTTGGGCTGGTTGCACAATACCTGGGCAGTGGGATTTCTCTTCATGATGGCCTCAAATCCCAACAGCTGGAACATGCGCTCTAGGGCATCCAGGTCTGCCTCTGACCCTTCCCGGGCTTTAGTGACACACAGCACTAAGGCTAGGCGGGCACCTGACATATCATATGCCTCCTGGGCCAGGAGATGACAAAAATCAGCAGAAGGGAGTGAAATCAAGGAGAAGCAAGAGATAGAGCCCAAAGAGGCTTGGGGTTAGGGTTTCCAGGTGACATACAGGTTGCCAGTTACATTCAAATTTCAGATTATAAAACATTTTTTTGTATAGGTATATCCCAAACATTTCATGGGATGCACTTATATCCCAAGATGATTTTCTGTTGATGCACAATTAAAATTTGACTGCATATCCTTTGTTTTTATTTGCCAAATTTGGTAATCCAACCTTGAATCTGGCTTTGTTATAACCTTGTGTGAACTTGAGCAGGTCATTGCTTCAATCTGAGCCTCAGTTTCCAAATACAGACAGTGAGTGTGTGTGCATGTGATTCTGAAATTGTCCTATTTGGTGACTGTCTCCCTATTCTTTCTAAGGGTGTTCTGAACATGACTTTCTTAACTAGCAGAGATCTCAGAATTTCTGAACATAATACTAAAATCTTATTCCCAAAGAAGAGGGATATTGAGGTCAAAATTTCTTTTCAGAAGAAAAGGAAAAAATTGAATACCATGGTGATAAGAATTTGATAATTGAGACAGATATAGCAGGAATCCACCCTCTACTCCTGACTTGAGTTCTGTCTGAGTCTTTTTCTCCATCTGAATGATCACAAATCAATTTCTAACTCTGAATTAAGGTCATGAGACTTTTCAATCCCCACTGTCATTGAAGCATTAACCTCTCCCCTGCACTCCCCTTCCCCCCGCCCCCGTGCCTCTCCTTCAAACTGCACTGACCCACCTCTTCCAAAGGCTGGAGATGGCTCATTTCCTTTGATTCTGAATCTGGTTCCCAGCAGATTGTCTAATCCTGGGGGGACTGAGAGGAGAGAAGATGAAAGTCTCCAGGGGAAGGAAGAGGAGTTCAGGGGATAGATGAGTTTGTTTTTTCTGGATTTCCAGGAATGAATAGGACTGCAGTGGTGGGGATTTTGTTCATGGTCAGACCTGGGTAAGAGATGATGGACAATCCATGAAGCAATTCCTCTTTAGTGTAACACCTGTTGTGTCTCCCATTCCTGTATATATCCAGGTCTCTTGATAAACTCATTCCACAATGCCATTCATCTGGAATCTTCCTTATACCTCCCTTGGGACATTCACCAGCCTGGGACAGACTAGTCCCCCCTCTGAAGGCCCTGGATTGATGGGGGGGGGCACATAGCCTTGTGCATTCCCCGTGGTCACCCTGGAGCTCCTTCAGGGTTGGGTTTAAAATGAGAATGCTTTCAATGTGGACTATTTTGAGACCGTCCCAGTGGGTCTAGAATCCAAACAGACCAGTCCACCTCCCTTCCCTCTGCCTTGAACCTGAATATCTATCTGATCAAGTTCACTGTACTCATCTCTGAGTCCTGTTCTTCTCTGAGTCCTGTTCTACTCTGAGTGAAGAGAATGGCTTTTGTTGTGTTATATGCATTTCCTCATCTCCTTGATTTTTGTTGCAATTTCCCTCAGACTGGCATGCTTCCTCACTTTTCCAGATCCTTCTCTTGACATGGTATCATGTCTACTATGCATTTTCCTACCATCTGTCCATCCATCCATCCATCCATCTAGCCAGCCAGCCATCCACCTATCCATCTGACCACTTCTCTACGTACAGCAAGAATTTTCTGGAGGCCTATTATGTGTTAGGCATTGGTTAATACACAATATATAAGACAGGCATACTTCCTGCATTCACATAGTTTTGGTCCATAACAGAAATGAACATTAAATCTTTCCCCTCACCTCCCACCCCCCCACACATTCAAGTCAGTGTTGTGAGGAAAGAGAAACCAAGTATTGTGAGAGAAGAAGTGGAAAGAGCATGGACTCTGGAGCCAGACAAACCAGAATCAAATCTTGCCTCCACCCCTTCCCAGCTCTGACCTTGATCATGTCCCTTCCCCTCCGAAACTCTGGGACTCAGCTTTCCCACTTAAAGGGAACCTTGAAAGAGCAGTAGAGGCTTCGCAATAGCAGCACAGATCTCTGTGAATCCCCTGGAAGCTGCCTCTCCCTTCTCCAGACTTCACAGCCCTGCCTGCTTATACTTGCATTACGCAGTGTTTTGATTCTTATTCTCATGGCTGAACTGGAAGCTCAGTATTTAGGATTGAAAGTCTTGATTTCATCTCTTTCTTCATCAGTATCACAGGTGTGGGAATGGGCACAGAAGGGGTGTCGGGAAGAATTAGTCGAGTAAACAAATAATAACTAAATGAACAAATGGAAGATTGGATGAGTAGATGAATGGAAATTTCTTCAGTTCTGCCAAAACTGGCAGAGCATCTATTGAAGCAAGGAAAAGAGAGAAAGAAAAAGAAATTGGAGGAGAAAGAGAAAGAGTGGGGTGGAAGCGGGGGTTGGGGGGGGGAGAGGGAGAGAGAGAGAGAGAGCGTGCGCGAGAGAGGCTATTATTGGTGAAATCACTTACTGACTGTAGAAGTCTGCTCCTTAAAGCCGGCTCAATCTCACCATTCTCTTTGCTGCCAAAAGAGCTGGGTACCTAGCAGGAGGCCAGGCTGGTGCGCTGATCTTGGAGAAGAGGCTGTCAGTGTGAGATCTTCCCAGGTTTCACTTGAGAGGCCTGTCTGTGAATTAGCAGCACAGCTGTCTGAACCTTTATTGCCAGTGACTTTTCTGTCACTCAGGAAATCTCATGACAGAAGTGACACACCCTTGGCACAGCCTTGGTGAGGAAATGAAGCCAGATGCCCTTGGAATGAATGTTGGTAAAGCTCAGCCGACACCCCCTGGCAAAGGAGGCTGAGGCAGAGCATCCCAATTAGCCAGGGTTTTTATGCCAATGCAACCACAAGGCAGCCCCAAGGTCCAGCTCATCTGGCTAATGCCCATCATTTCCATCACCACACCTACTCCTTTCATCTCTTCCACGTTCAGCTGTTCAGCTAGTGACATTTTCACTCATTATGATCTCACGGTGTGCTTAATAGCCCCAAGACACCAGCATTGTTGCAGGTGAGGAAACAGACCACAGAGGTAAAGTACCTGCACAGGGTCACCCAACAATGATTGGAGCTGTTGGCATTCAAGCCCAGGAGAGCCCGGCCTAGACAGCCCTGTCCCGACTGATGCTTCCCCACTGACTCAGCCTCTCCATCAGGACCTCCCTCCTTCATTCTTTTTCAGCCTTAATTTGTTTTGGTTAATTTTACTTTACCTTAGTTTTTAAAATTGAAATATCATTGAATTAAAACATTATATAAGTTTTGGGTGGGCATCATTGTAAATCAACACCTGTACATATTACATCTTGTTCACCATTAAAAGGTATTTTAGGTAAACAACATTATAAAGAGATATAAATGCGCACACCACATGAGTTACCCATGTAAGTGTACAATGCAATGTATATTTTCTTTCTTTTTTTTTATATATATTTTTAAAGATTTATTTATTTATTTATTTATACAAGCACTGGGTACAGTCAGAAGCGCAGGAGGGTGAGAGAATTCACCAGAGCCAGAGCGGAGAGCAGAACAGGCAGACTGACGAAATACACTGCTGAGGGGAGAAGTGGGCGGCAGGTGAGGTCTGTGCGCCATGTGGGACCCTCGCCTGGTGGCTGGGGATCAAACTGGCGCTGCAGAGGCTGTGGGCAGCTTCGCAGCCCAGCGCTCAACCACTGCACCACTGGGGAGGCCCGCAATGTATATTTTCACTATATTTACAGAGTTGTGCAATCACCACAATTTGAGAACATTTTTCATCATTTCAAAAAGGAAATCCATGAACTTTAGTTATTGATCCCTATCCTTTCCAGCTATAGCCACCCATGTGTGTACTTTCTGTCTCTGTAGGTTATTGTTTTAGATATTTCACATGAATAGGATAGTGTGCAGCCATCTCTGTCCATCAGTGACAGGCTGTGCGCACAGTGGTGGTCCCTGCACAGACTAGGTGTGAAGCTGCAACTCCATCTAGGGGTGTGTAGTTACACTCTGTGCTCTTTGTGCAATGATGACATCACCTAAATGATGACATCATTTCTGAGAAAGTATCCCTGTCAGTAAGCAATGCACGACTATAATATGTGGTATTTAGTGTTTGGATTCTTTTACTCAGTGTAATGTTTTTAAGGTTTATTCATGTTGTAGAGCATATCAGTACCTCATCCTTTGTTGCAGCCGAGTAAAATTCCATTGTGTGGCTATACTTCATTTTGTGTATCCATCTGTCTGACCATCTGTCCATCCATCCAACCATCCATCCACCCACCTGTTAATGAGTAGTTATGCTGCTTCTACCTTTTGGCTATGATGAATAATGTTGCTATAAATATTAGTGTACAAGTTTTTGTGTAGATGTATATTTTCATTTCTCTTGGGCTTATGCCTGGGAGTGGACTATTCAAATAATATAGAAATGTAGTTAGCAAAATTAGAACATTCTCAAGAAGTGATATAGACTCTGTAGAAAATGGTATGATGGTTCTTAAAAAAATTCAACATACATTACCATTTTGATCCAGCAATTCCACTTCTAGGTATATATACAAAATAAAAAAATAGAACTCAAACATATACAAGTATTCTAGTATCAGTATTCACAATAATCAAGTTTAAAACAATCCCATGTCCAACAATGGATGAATGGCTAAAGAAAATGTGGTATATATAAAACGTGGAATATTATTCAGTCTTAGAAAGGAAGGCAATTCTGACATATGTTTCAATATAGATGAATTTTGAAGACATTGTATTAAGTGAACTAAGGCAGAAACAAATGGATATATATATTGTTTAATCCCACTTATCTGCCCTGCCTAGAGAAGTCAAGTTCATGGAGAGAGTGCGAAGAACAGCTGTTACCAGGAACTGGAGGGCAGGGATGGGGGGGGCAGAAAATGGGAAGTTAGTTTTTAATGGGGACGGAGTTTCATTTTGGGAAGTCCATGTAGAACAAACTCATTTTTGTTTTCTTTTAAAAAATGTTTTATGGAGCTGGAAGGAATCATGCTCAGTGAAATAAGCCAGAAAGAAAAAGGAAAATACCGGATAGTCTCACTCATATCAGGAATTTAGAAAACCTAAATAAGGGACCAAGAAAAAGACTAATTATAATAAAGTAAAAATCAAAATCAACAAGCAACTATAAACCAGAGACACACCACAGGGGCGAGGGGCGACAGGGGAGAAGGGAGTTGGATCAAAACAAGGGGGGTGGGAATTTTATGGGGACTATAACCGAGATGAAAATGCATACATTATGCAAAAATGAAAAATGATGTAAAAATATATAAAATAAAATAAAAAAAAATGTTTTCTGGTTCTGTAGCCCAGTGGTGGGGGTGATTGCACAAAAGGTGAATGTCCTTTTTCTTCTCCTCCTCCTCCTCCTCCTTTGCCAAGTCAGATATATAATTAGAAAGCAGATACTATTTTTTTTGGTACAAAATTTAAGGACAAGTGAAACCAAGTCCACATTACTTTTTTTTTTTTTTTTACACACATGTATTTTTATAGACATTAAATCACAAAGCAGGTAATCTAGCAGTACTCAGTGTTTAATAACTTTGGCTGAATCTCTGTTCTCCAGCAAACTGACTGTAAGATCCTGGAGGGCAGAGACCACGTTCTAATGAGTGTTGGATTTCTCCAGCACATGACACAGTGTAGTGAATGTTCTTAGTGCCATTGATTAAACCATACGCTTTAGAATGATTAAAATGGTAAATTTTAAGTTATGTATTTGTATTTGCTGCAAGAAAATTTAGAAAATTGCAACATTTTCTTTTTTAAATTTTAATAATTTTATTTT